TAGTCCAGGTGAGGAACAAGAGTAATGTTGACTTGAGAGGCAGTAGGGCTGGTACTTAGGAAAAGTCAGATCATGGGTGTCAATCGAGGGTAAGGCAAGTTTAAGAACTTGGAGTTCAGGAAAGAGATTGTGTTGGCATTATAAATCTGGGAACCCACTATTGATTGGATGTTTGACCCCTCCAAATCTCTCTTTGAAAATGATCCCCGATGTTGAAGGTTGAGCCTAAGGGGAGGTGTTTGGATCATGAGGTTAGACCCCTCATGAATAGATTCATGCCCTCCTTGGGGGGAAGGGGCAAGTGAATTCTCAGTCTGTTGGTTCCCAAGAGATCTGGCTCTTAAAAAAAGAAACTGGCATCTCCTACCTCACTCTCTGGCTTCCTCTCTCCACACATGATCTCTGTACATGCTGGCTCCCTTGCCTTCCACTTGGAGTGGAAGCAACCTGAGACCCTCACCTGATGCAGGTGCTACTGCCATGCTTCTTGTACGGCCTGCATAACTGTGAGCCAAATAAACCTCTTTTCTTGGAAAAGTACTCAGCCTCAGGTATTCCTTTACAGCAACATGCCACACATTCGGACAAAGCCATTAGTAAATAATTAAGGGAATATATGTAAAGTAGAGAAAGTTTTCAAGAACTGAGCCTTCCGAAACTCCAATCTTTTAAGAGTCAGCACAGAAGACAGAAAGTGCAGCCAAGGATGGACTGGTTAAACAAAAACAGAAAAGTGTCTCGGGGGACAAATAAGAAAACGATTTCCAGCATGAGGAATTTGTCAACTGTAATCAATGAACATTTGAATATGAAAAGGAGGGGGGAACATTGGGACCTTCCTTATTAAGCACAAATTTGGTGATGAATACCTGATAGGATAGCGTTAAAATGTAAATGAAAGGGAAGAAAGTGAGAAGGGACTTTTTCCTGCCAATGTTATCAGTTAATACAGCAGTGGCTGAGGGAGAAGGGGGGGTCATCACAAGTTTATTTTGGTTTTTGTTTTTGAAATTGGAAGGCATAATTGTCTGTTTCCTCGTCAGGAGTTTGGCGATTGTTGGATGGAGCATATCTAACACTACAGAATTATTTTGCCTGTGTCCTGGGTTTCTTTGCCTCTCCCAAAGGTGGGGAAGGTGCTGATTCCACACTGATGGGCTGGGAGGTGTGTTCAGGCATGAGGGTCGGATCTTCCTGGAGCGTCTTTCTATGGAGGCTTGCTGAGGAGGCCTCGGTTCAGCAGTCTCGCCTTACTGAAGCTTCTCTAGTGCTTCTGTACTGTTTGTCTCCACTAAGCAAACATGCACGTGAAAACAACTGTTGCCTGCTTGTAATATTGAAAAGTGTCAATGAGACCAAAGGAAACAGTTGAGCACAGTAGCAAATCAATGAAAACATCTTATTATAGAAACTTAGATCAAGCTAGCAAAAGCAAAACAGCCAGTAACGGTGGGAGGAAAGGCAAGATTGATAGAGGATATTTGTAAGAGCCCATAGGCACAAAACCCAGAGAGAGAGAGCAGTGGTGGAGCCCAGTGGGAATTCAATCCCAGCAAGAGAGTGAGTGGCTCTCACTGCTCCTCCATTCGGATAAAACATAAACTTCTCACACTCACATTAAAGTGCCTAGGCTTCTTTTGTCCTACAAATAATCATAGAGTCTATGAAATTAAAGAAGCCTCGATGGAGTGAGAATTTTACAGGTGGGAGTTTGTATGACTATGTAGAGTTTCCTAATTACCTTGTTCATCCTTGGCCACCAGGCTAGTGTTTCCTGCTAGGTTTTATTAGGGTTTACACCATGTTCACATCTTACTGTCCCAGTCAACTAAACAGCACCTTACAAGACTTCCCCCTCTTACTTTTTCCCTGTAAACCAACGGAAGTAATGCCCATCTCACAGGATCATTGTGAGGAATAAATGACAGAAGCACAAAAAGCACCTCACCAGTGCCTGGCACATAAGAAGTACCAATATGTTACTAGCGATCATGATTACCATTATTGATACTTCTTTCTCTGCATGCGCCTTCATTTCCCCATTACTCTAGGGATGAATTACTGTTTGGTCTACGGAGCATTCATTCCCATTCCATTTTGTTTCTACACTGGGTCACCATGGTAATTACTAATTTCTTCTCCTTAAGTTTTCTGTTTCCTGGGAGATTTGGGAGCTGGGAACAATGATTTCAGCTTATTCTCTCCCAGCCATTCTGACTCTAGATATACCTTTATTATTTCTTAGCATGAAATGAATCATTGGATTTATGAGAAGAAAATTAGTCAATTAAAGGGAGTAACAGACTTGTCTTTGGAGTTAGACCACCTTGGTCCACATTCTGGGCCTATCACTTATACTCTCCATATCCCCTGGCAAGTTACTTAATGTTCCTCTGTTTCTCAGCGGTAAAAAGTAGACATAAGGGTGAGTGCTAACGGAAGAAACACAATACAACTGCTTATAGCTGTATTGACTCAGAGAATAGTCAGCTGTAATTATTATTATTCATATCATTTTACTCACATGACTCTGAACGATTTGCCTTGCTGGAAGGTTCACTTCTCACTATTTCTATATAGTATCAGTAAGTTTAGTAAAATAGAAATCCGATTGTATAACCCCAATATGGGTTGAATTGTGTCCCTCCAAAATTCCTATATATAACTATAGTTGGAGAGAAGTTAAAATGAGGCCCCGTGAGTAGGATCCTAATCCCATATGACTGGTGTCCTCGTAAGAAGACGAGGAGACACCGGGGAAGCCCACGCATAGAGGACAGGACACATGAGGATGCGGCAGGAAAGCAGCCATCTGCAAGCCAAAGAGAAAGGCCACAGACGAAATGGCCATTGACAAACCTGTTGACACCTTGATTTTGGACTTCTAGCCTCCAGAACTGTGAGAAAATAAATTTCTGTTTTCAAGTGGCCCAGTCTGTGGTATTTTGTTATGGCAGCTTTAGTGAACTAAAACATTACCCTTCCTAACACTGCACAGCGGCAGCTGGTGGTTCTTGAGCTTTCTCCTTCTGAACTGATCCATCAAAGTCATTTCCTGAAAGAAAATCTTTGCAGGCTGGACAGGAGTCTTCATTTTAAGACACCATAGGTGATAAATTTCAAATTCCAGAATAAGACACTCTACTCTGCGGAATAAATTCTAGAGGTTTTGTTTGAGGGTTTTTTAAAAATTGAACTATCTTCTCCTGTTACTAACCTATATGTTCTTTAGCTTCTAGCATTTGAACATCCCGTAGGTGCACAATTAATGCCATGGCCTTTTACTGTAATTGTGTACATGTTGTCCTCTCATGCAGAAATTTTCTCTTTTTCATTTTTCATCTACTGCTTCGTTGTCTCTAGAATCTTCCTTCCAGAGTAGGCAAAAGTTAATTTCTATAGGGGTAACTGACCTTCTTCACTGCATCTACCTAGAAATGATGATAAAACATTTTTTCTTTAATTCTTCCACAGCACATGGTGGATCTTCCTTATCTTATGACATTCTAATATCATTTCTTATGTAGCTATCTCTTGTTAACTGAGACCTTGTCACATTGACTTCATGTTTTATTTATAAACTTATAAATATGTATATGAAATATATAAATAAATAGCATTGCTTTTCATAACTGTAGCAGCAAAAAGTCCAAAATGTTATTTGAACGAATCAATAAATGTAGTGAAATAAACTATTACGTAAAGTGCTACATCCTGACCAGGCATGGTGGCTCACACCTGTAATCCCAGCACTTTGGAATGGAAGATCCCTTGAGACCAGGAATTCAAGACCGGCCTTGGCAACACACGAAGACCTTGTCTCTACAAAATATTTGAAAATTAGCCATACATGCTACCTTGCACCTGTAGTCCCAGCTACTCAGAATGCTACATGACAAGACAATCGATGGAGGCTAGGACTTTGAATTACAGTGAGGTATGATAGTGCCACTGTACTCCATGCAAAGCAACAGACTGGACAATAAATTGAGACCCCATTTCTGAATAAAAAGCACTATTTCAGCCAAGCGCAGTGGCTCACGCCTGTAATCCTAGCACTCTGGGAGGCTGAGGTGGGAGGATTGCTTGAGCTCAGGAGTTCAAGACCAGCCTGAGCAAGAGCGAGACCCCGTCTGTATTATAAATAGAAAGAAATTAGCCAAACAAGTAAAAATAGAAAAAAATTAGCCGGGCACGGTGGCGCGTGCCTGTATCCCAGCTACCCGGGAGGCTGAGGCCGGAGGATCGCTTGAGCCCAGGAGTTTGAGGTTGCTGTGAGCTAGGCTGACGCCACGGCACTCACTCTAGCCCGGGCAACAAAAAGAGACTCTGTCTCGAAAAAAAAAAAGCACTATTTCCATCCTCTCTTTGCCACTTCAAAAAATTTAAAATGTCAATCATATGATTTGAACTGAAGCAAAACTTCAGTTACCAAAAGCCAACATTTGCATCCAACATTCCACTTTGTTTTATTTTAACTAAGAATAAGTAATTTTCATTAACTTTTAGTCAAACTCCAGTCCTTTCCAACAAAAAGCTGTGGTCTCTGTTCTTTGCATAAAACATCATAAAGCTATTTGCTTTTAAGTCTCCAATATCCCTTTTATGAAAAGAATGGCAGATCACTGGAAAGGTATATTTTAGGTTGTGTGGAGATTTCAGCTACCTGAAAGTCCATTGTGGACTTCTGAGGAAGCTCAGAGGTCAGGATCCTTCACAGAGTAGTCCTTTAAGCGGGTTCAGTTGTCAACAACTAAAGGGCTCTTTGACAAATAATTATAGTCGTAACTTCACTGAAACTTTCTAGCTGCCTAAACTCAAAGGCCTTTGGGAAACTTCTACTGCTCAGCTACAGTGGTGTGGCCAGACCGATTGAGAAGAAAGTGGTGTCAGGATCAACACGGGATTACTGTGCTTAGTGGAAGGGAATCTTTTCTCCTTCTGAACTGATCTCCGTAAGGTCACTGTGCTTCCTCTTGGGGATCACCTGTTCAGCCTCAATGACTTTTGAGGTGCTCCTGGATCAAGTTGGTGGCCTGGGGAGATTCCAGATTCTTCAGCTGGCTTTCTGGTGTATTGTAAACATCCTGCTGTACGCTCATATTCTGTTGGAGAACTTCACTGCAGCCATCCCCGATCATCGCTGCTGGGTCCACATTCTCGACAATGACACTGTCTCGCACAATGACACCGGGACCCTCAGCCAAGACATTCTCCTGAGAATCACCATCCCACTGGACTCCAACCTGAGGCCAGAGAAGTGTCGTCGCTTTGTCCATCCCCAGTGGCAGCTCCTTCACTCGAACGGGACCTTCTCAAACATGAGTGAGCCAGACACAGAGCCCTGTGTGGATGGCTGGGTGTATGACCAAAGCTCCTTCTTCTCCACCATTGTGACTGAGGTAAGGAGGCTTGAGTTCTCCTTATGTGACCGAGGTGTTTGGAGGTAACACCGAGAATGCAATTGCTTTACACACTTAGTCCCCAGATGGGTATTGAAGTCAGCCCTGTCTTCGTTCCTTCAGCAGGTAGCAATTGTTTATCTACACTACAATGCAGTCAAGCGTACAAATATTAAGGCTAATGAATTGAACAAACTAAACATAAACCTGCTATTATATCATTAAATCTAGTGAGAAAGACCTATGATTTCTTTTTATCTTAGGATATGATTTTTTAAATAATTGAAATAGTCTGAGGCAAATCTTATGCTAGGTCAGTGGTTTTCAATACTCATTGCAAAACGGATATGCAGAGCAAGTAAACCAGAACCTCTTAACATAGGACCTGGGCACCAGTATTTTTGAAGGTCTTCAAGTGATTCAATATGTGACCAAGGACGAGAATTATTGTAGTAGTTGAATTCACAGTGAAGAGAAGCCAAAGGCAGGGACCTTATGTTACCTACATGATGAGGGTGGCCTTCCTGGAAAAATTACAAGGTTTTTGCATATAGTTTTTTACGTTTGGATAAAGGAAATATTTTATTTTTGTTCTCTGCAAGTTTTCAATCCTATACTCCAAGAATGTGTATCAGTAAATGTAATAAAAGGAGTTGGTGGTATGAAGGGCAAGTGAATAAAGACATGTAGTCTCATGGATACAGGCTGTTGGAAGGTTATGAGGTGAGAGCAATACCCAGCTGCTTTTGAAGGGTTGAAATAAGTTCAGTATTTTCAGAGTGTGGGCCAGCAGAGGAGAGTGGCTGTAATGAAGCTGGAGATGGAGGCCGGGCCCTCATAGCAGAGGGTTGTGCTCATCCTATGTAGGACTTTGGAGTCAGTTTCCACTAAAGGGCTCAAACTCTTCTCCAACTCTGCTGTGCTGCTTTCCTTCTCTTCCAGTGGGACCTGGTATGTGAATCTGAGTCACAAAGATCAATGGTTCAGTCCCTATTTATGGCTGGGTCGCTTCTGGGAAGTCCGATATGCGGCTATCTTTCAGACAGGTGAGTGTCGCCTCACTTTCTTTTGGGATGTTTATCAGGTGATATATTCATTCCTTTATTTTAGAAATACTTGCTGAGCTCTGTGTACTTTGCATTGTGGTATGTGCTGACCTCTATTTCTGACTCCAGGGAGCTCCAAATGAGTAAGAGCGTTTGATAAGTGAACTGGAAATTATAGTTTGGTATAATAAACCTGTTCATTGTACTGCATAAAGGAGCACATTAAAAAATCAAAATCAGATTCAACAAAGTTTCAGGAAGGGATTTTCAGGGCAGATTATAAAATTTGAGGTTTTTGAGTAGGAGTTAATTGAATACTAGGGTTTTGAGAAAGAAGGTAGCTGCATGTTTGAAAGAACAAATATCTGAAGTAGTGTTATTGGCCTTGGCAATGATATGAACCACCTAGACTTGTGAAGTAAATGATTATGGACACTATTAGACTGGTCATCGTTTCATGCCTGCAGTGTAAGTCCTCATGTGCAGTGAGAGTCACTGTTATAAAATCTGCATCACTAATTCAAATAGCAGAATAAATCATTGAATGAATGAATGTAGCAGTCTACTGAAAAATGTGAAAGAATTAATCTTTCTTAGATCACAGATCTAGGTTAATATCTATCAACAGTAGAATGAAAAAAATAAATTGTGGTGTATTCATATAAATTTCTACTCAGCAATGAGAGAGAACAAATTATTGCCTCATGCGACAACATGAAGGAAAGGTTATATGACATTGGATTGCATAGTGTGTGATTTTAATTTTTATAAAGATCAAAACAGTTAAAATAGTCTATGGTGGTAAAGTAATAATATTTGATATCTTTGGTGGGAGTAGACTAGGAGAAGGCATGACATGGAGTTCTTGTGTGAGAGCGATGTTCTATTTCTTGTCTAGGACTGGTTAAATTGGCATATTTATCTTGTGAAAATCATTAAAATTGTATGCATTTGATATGTGCACTTTTTGTGTGTACCTTAAACTTCAGTGTGATTCGGTATGGAATATAACAAGTGGGAGGTCACAGTGGGGTAGACGGATTGTTCAGCAGGAGTTAATAGTGGCAGCCCGGTGACCAGCTGTAGAAGGATCGATTTCAATGATCACAGCTTAGATCTCTATGATGCCCCTATCAGATCTAACACAGTAAATGGTACTGGTTTGTGTCCTGTTAGGAGCTGGCCCACAGAGCTCTGCCTCCACCGCCGAGCTCTGCCCTTCCCCAACCCATCCGTGGAAAAATTGTCTTCCATGAATCCGGTCTCTCGGGCCAAAAAGGTTGGGGACCACTGCTTTAGAAGACAGTAAAAGAACTTTATAGTTTATCAAGTTCAACTCATTAAATGAAGGAAACTATGCATTATTGACAAATAACCACCAAATTTATGTTAGAAATCCTTTGAGAATGTGCAGCTTAGTCCTTTAAAATGAGTCATCTGCTAGCATTTAACTCTTGTTAATATCACACATTTCACCCATACATCAGGTTAATCTTTGCTTTCTCAAGCTTCAAATTTGTTTCCCTATTTCTTCCCCCAAGACTTACGTGACACTCGACCATATTCCACTGCACTTCGAATAAAACCCACGTTTCTTTCAAATCCTACCAGATCTGAGATTTTGCCCGTGTGTCCCCCTCTTACCTGATCCACCCCCTTCATTTCCTGGCAGTCTGCAAAACACCAGGCTAGTTCCCACCACATAGCATTTACACTTGCTGTTTCTTCTGCCCTTCGTATCCCTTCCCTGCACACTGCTCAATCCACGACTTCTAATTATTCATATTCCAATGTCACCTGCTCAAATATCTCTTCCCTGACTCCCTATCTAGGGATGCCTTCACCCAAGTTACTCCCATTTCATTTCCCAACCTGCATTTTTAAGAGCAATTTAAACCTTTCAAATGTCATACTCTCATAAATCGTAGGAAGATCCATTTGGGAGGCGATTGAAATAGTTCGGAAGAGAGATCATAGGAGTGTAAATTAAAGGAGGATCCACTGAGATACTAATACGTAGTTGGATTTGGGAGATGTTTTAGAGGTAGACTGAATAAGACTTGCTGGTGGTTTAGGTTCTTTTCCACTATTGAGGGACTTCTAGGGAGAGAAACAGAAGAATCCTGGGGATATAGGCTTTTGGCCAGATATAACTAGTAAATTCTGAAGACACTATAAAAGATGAGAGAGGACTATGGAAACAGTAAATTTGGGGAAGAAAGTTAAGACTTGCCAAATTGCATTTGCCTATTAGATATGCATATGGGGTTATAGGTAGGTGGTTGTATATATTGATACAGGGTCACCAAAGAGGTCAAGGCCAGATATAATAACTTGCAATTTTTTAGCATATAAATATTTTCATAGCTAAGAGAGTGAGAGAGGTAACTCAGGAAAGAATGTAGATAGTGACCAGTGATATCCAGTAGATCCAACCCTACCTAAGGCAAAAACTAACCAAGGGATCACCATTTTACATCACTGTGGCTGCCACTGGCATTCTCTCACCTGATTACTGAAGCTTCCCAGCATTGACTTCTTTCATTCAGATTTCAAATCCCTCTGAATTCATATATTCTGCACCATGTGATATCGATCTGTGCCTTCACTCCATTTACACTTGCATTCACTTTCACTTTAACCTAAGGTCTCATCATTAATTCAAATCAAGACCCACACAACTTTTTTATTCTGGGTTTCACCTCTCTTCCTCTTCCTCCTCCTCTAATGAGAAAATGCACATGAGGCTTCTGTACTTATCTTTATCAAACACCATTTTCATCAGGCCTTACCATATTAGTTGTAATTGTTAGCTGCCCGAAACCTCAATCGGTTATCACAGCAAAAGGGTAATCCTCATGGGTGTTTCAGACACGTACGGTAGGGTGACCCTTCTGGGCACCCATCTTTCAGGCAGTGGCTCGGGGAAACAGGACCATCCATTTAGGACTCTAACATCTATGAGACAGAGTGTAGGAACACAATAGACATTTTATGGTCCGGCCTGGAATTGACATACATCACGGCCACATCCATTTAACCCAGTTATAAGTCCCTATGGTAACCTACAATGAATTATGAGAAATGTTGTCTTCCTGTAGGCGTTAAAAGAAGGAAAAGGATGGTCAGCATCAAGCCAGATTCTGCAACAACTGTATGTTTAATGAAGCAAAAAGGTTAAATTACTCATTGTCATCATTTATGGTACAGTGACTTCACAGTCCATGTGTTCAGGCAAGGCCTCTTTCCCATACCTGTAACTATTTGTGTGTATTCCCATTTCCCCACTCCCACCCTTCACCATGGAGAGCTTTACCATGTGTTTACTATCAATCTCTTTATTTGTACATACTGCAAAATGTTTAATATCTTTGTGTGTGCAGGCATTTTAATTAACATGAAAGGCATGATGCTAATTTATCCAATCTCTTTCTTACCCTTTGCCATTCATTCACCGCTAAATTTGGAGATCTGTTTATGATTTTGTGTGTAGATCTAGTCTGCTGCTTCAAACTTCTCCTCGGCTCTCCACAGGGAGCCCGGGTATGTTTTTCCCATTGTCACTCCCAGTGACAGATTCCCTGATTCCCACAGCATCCCTAACACCACGTCATCTCTAATATTAATATCTTGATGTGTGTGTCTTTACTATGAGAATTTTTTTATGAATAGGCTTTAATTTTCATAGCAGTTGTGGGTTAACAGAAATATTGAGTAAAGCACAGAGAGCTCCCATATACTCCCTCTCTCAAAGTTTCCCATATTATTGCTATCTTGCTGTAGTGTGGTGCATTTGCTGCAATTGATGGACCAATTTTGATATGTTATTGACTAAAGTCCATAGTTTGCATTATGCCACACTCCTTATGTTCTACAGTTTAGGGATTTCGGCAAAAGCATAATGTCACATATCCACCGTTAGACTATCTTCCTATAATTCCCTGTGCAACACCTATTTGTCCTTCCCTCTGAACCCAGACAACCACAGTTATGAGAATTTATTAAGGATATATAGATTTTTTTTGTAGTTACTGTGTTTTCATTACTTAGATTCCCAATGATCACCTCCCCATCATGTCCTATATCACATATATCTTTTTTTTTGAGACAGAGTCTCACTCTGTTGCCTGGGCTAGAGTGCCGTGGCTTCAGCCTAGCTCACAGCAACCTCAAACTCCTGGGCTCAAGCGATCCTACTGCCTCAGCCTCCCGAGTAGCTGGGACTATAGGCATGTGCCACCATGCCCGGCTAATTTTTTCTGTATATATATTTTTTTTTAGTTGTCCAGATAATTTCTTTCTATTTTTAGTAGAGACGGGGTCTTGCTCTTGCTCAGGCTGGTCTCGAACTCCTGACCTTGAGCGATCCACCTGCCTTGGCCTCGCAGATCAAGTATCTTTTTAAAAAGAATTTTATTCTATTCTGATTGTATCATAAAAATTTAGTAATAAAACTTCTGTTGTATAAAGGCTCAGAAAGTTAAACATTCTATAAGACCCATAATGACTTACGTATACTGCTAAAGTGACAAATGGCATAGAACAGGTGTCTAAAACTAGAGTTTGCTCATGTGTTACTACTGGGAATTCAGTATCAACTCATGTAACTTAGTCAAAACTGACTCCAGACTTGGTCCCCTTCCTGCCACTCCACGACACACATAATTCCCTTTTCTTTCTGTTTATCTTTCCCTTCTTTGTTCCTGTTGCTCTTTCTCCCCTCATCCTCTCCTCTGTGAACTTTCTATCCGTACCTGCACTGAGGGGAACAGTGGGTGAATTGTATTCTCCTGAGCTGAAACTCATTTCCCAAGCGCTAAAACGCAGACACAGCTGAGCATGGCCATTGTACAGTCTATCTGCAACTTTCATTGACTGTCTTTTTTCTCTTCCATTTATGGAAGTTTAGCCTTTACCTTGAGAGTGCAGAGGCCCAAACACGGATCTCTTGATTTCAAACCTTCGTGCTCTAAACACAATGCACAAATCCGCTATCCTAAATGTGTATGATTTTATAACTAATATTCTTTACAACTTCCCATTTCATCTTCTTTTATACAGTATCACAGGGCATCAGAGTCCTCATGGTGACGGTTTGGTGTGAGAGCTTTGACCACACTCTCATACTGAGAAATAGGGAGGGATGCATCTCTGATTTCTGCTGTAGACTAAAAAAATTATTCCACCAGGTGTCAAGTGCAATGTACCACTCATTAAATATTAATCCTAAATTTCAGGATGTGTCCTCTGTGTCAAGTTTTCCATATATTATTTTTGTGCCTAAATTATCTTACCTGGCATAATATTTCTTAGGTTTGGACGGAAGATCATATGCAGCTGGTGCTTACTCCAGCTGGCCATCTCTGACACCTGTGCAGCCTTTGCTCCCACCTTCTTCGTTTACTGCTTACTACGCTTCTTGGCAGGGTTCTGTGTCATGACTATTATGGGAAACAGCTTTCTTCTCGGTAAGTCAATAATAAATCTTTCATTATCTCTATAACTTGAATTGGCCTTGAAATTACCCTCTGTCTGATATTATTATTACCATATATGTTTTCTTCCAGTGTTAGAGTGGATTAATCCCCAGTCACGAACTATGGTTGCAACACTGTTATTATGTGCCTCCAGTATTGGGCAGATGTTCCTGGGAGGACTGGCTTTTGTCATTCAAGACTGGCGCGCACTGCAACTGACTGTGTCTATACCCATGTTTGTCATCTTCTTGTCTTCCAGGTACGGACAATCTCCATTTTCTTGCCTATATGGGAGGTTATGGTGGGAACAGAGAGGAGAATCCTGACACTTGAGATCTGTTCACTCCCTGGTTTTGTCCTGAGTTGTCAAAACATTCCCAAATCATCTCCATCACATAATGTTTCCCTAGCTAAATCAATAATATATTGACAAACAAATGTCAACTGTAGTTGAGATTTGATAAAAGGGAAAGACAGAATGTGGGCCAAGTCAAAGACTAAAGCAGCCTGCACTCACTGCTCTCAAGGAGAGGATCAAAAGTTTCAGGAAGTTCACCCATGGGTGGGCCATATAGGAGCAAGCATTGTGAGTCACCAGAGAATCCACTGGAGGTGCCAGAAGTGGGGGAGAGAGAGGCAGGGTGATAAGCTTGGCAAGATCGGAAGGTGACTGGGGAAAGAGTCCACAAGTGGGGAAAGTTTGGGGAATAGATCCTGGGGCTCCACGCTTCCCCAGCAGAAACTGTATCCCAAGCTTTGAGGGGGTTCCCCCACCACAGCAGGCCTTGGAACAGATCAGGGAGCTGCTTGGAGACTGTGCAGCAGCATTGCACAGAGAGAGAACACAGTGGCATCCTGCCAACTCTGGTCTCAGGTCGCTGCAATAGACACCACTCTGCACTCTTGCCCTAGAATGCCTGGTCTGCAGAGGGATCAGCTCCACTGCAGGAAACTCCCCATTTCCCCTACCAGGCTAAGGAAGGAGCAAGGAGGGGTGCATTCTTATGCACTGAGACTGAGTGCTATGCACTCCCCTAACCTTCCCACTGGCCTCCTCCCAGAGATCCAGGCAGAGCAGGCACCTACCGGCCTTCAGCATCTGCTGCTGCAATCTCACCAAATCCGTAGTGCCACTGCCACCACCTGAGTAGCACCAGAGCACCTGCCACAGGCAGAACTGTGTAGAGGGAGAGCCCCAGCCACAGCACCTCTTCAGTGGGGCACATGATACCTGCGAGACTTCACCCAGCCATTGCAGTTCAAAAAGCCACCCTGCAACTGCCAAAGACCTGCAAGCTATCCAGGCACCAGTCAAGGCCCCCTAGCTTTCCAGGGGCCTCCCAAGGTCTTGCAAACCATGCAAGCACTCACCAAGGTCCCATGACACGCCCTGCCTCTGGCTGCAGTCCTGCCACGCACCTAGGCATTCACAAATGTCCAGTGAACCATCTCACTAGCAGGAGTGGTCTCACAGTGCACCCAGTCACCTGTGAAGGCCCCATAACCTGCCCAGCTGCCTGCCAAGGTCCCCTGACCCCTAGGGTCACTCACCAAATCCTGCATTCCACCAGGATTCCTGTGAAGGTCCCACAACCCATAGAGGTGACCACCAAAGTCTCAGGATGCATGCAAGCAACAGCCAAGATCCCACAAGCCATCCAGGTGCCTGCCAAGGCCACTCAATCTGTCACTTCAACCAATACAGTCCCACGCCCAGCCATTTTCTTGCCAAAGAACCACAACCAATGCATTTGCCCAACAAAGTTCCAAGACAAGCACAAGCACTGGTCAAGGATCTACAGCATTCCCAGGCACTGATCAAGGTCTAGTGACCTCATCTGTCACCAGGTGCAGTGGTGTGATGCGTCCAGGTGCCGGCCTAGGTCGTGTGAACCTGCCAGCTGCTGGTGAAAGTCACAACACCCGCCTCTGTGGACAGGGATTTGCATAACCCTGTCAAGTGCTTCCAACAGGACCTGAGGACCAACCCACAAATGTGAATAGATATCTCCCAGCACAGGCTTGGACTGTGACAGGCACAGAAAAATGGGCCGAGGCAAGAGAACAAGGTTCATTACAGGCCCTCAGTGCATCCGCCAATCTCTCACTGGGTCAATCCTCTAATGCTGGACACAGAAGTGTTATCTAGGGACCTTTTCTTTTTCTCATTAAGTGGGATTGTTCCCAGCAAAGGGGAACAGGTATACCACAAACGTACCAACCCTAACCTGAGAGAAAGATTTCAGATGAGAAGAAACCAGCAAAAGAATTCTGGCGGCCGGGCGCGGTGGCTCACGCCTGTAATCCTAGCTCTCTGGGAGGCCGAGGAGGGCGGATTGTTTGAGCTCAGGAGTTCGAAACCAGCCTGAGCAAGAGCAAGACCCTGTCTCTACTAAAAATAGAAAGAAATTAATCGGACAACTAAAAATATATAGAAAAAAATTAGCCAGGCATGGTGGCACATGCCTGTAGTCCCAGCTACTCGGGAGGCTGAGGCAGAAGGATTGCTTGAGCCCAGGAATTTGAGGTTGCTGTGAGCTAGGCCTACGCCATGGCACTCACTCTAGCCCGGGCAAAAGAGTGAGACTCTGTCTCAAAAAAAAAAAAAAGAATTCTGGCAATATGAAAAAACACCCTCAAGTGACCATGACAGATCCACACCAATGGGCACCAATTAAAAAGAAATTATCAAAATGTCAGAAATGGAATTCAGACTATGGATGGCAAACAAGAGGAATGGGATTGAAGAGAAAGTTGAAAACCAGCACAAAGAAACCAAAAACTATTTCAGGACATGAATGGAAAATATGAAAAACTCATTAAAGATATAGACAACATAAGAAAGGACATAAATGAACTTAAAGAAATGAAATACTCATTTAAGGTATCACAAACTATGGCAGAAAGCTTCTACAATAGGCAAGTAGAAAAAAGAATCTCAAAGCTTGCAAATGAGGCTTTGAAATAACTAAGTCAGTCAAACACTCAAAAAAAGATAACGAAGAATGAACAATCACTCAGAAGAATATGGGACTACATGAAAGAAGCCAGTATATGAATTATAGGTATCCTGGGGGGAGAAGACGAAACAGCAAAAAGCATGCAAAACCTATTTGAGGAAATTATGAAGAAGAAATTTCCTAGTTATCACCAGAGAGCCAGATATACAGATATAAGATGGTCATCGAACTCTGAGAAGATCCATAGCAAATAGGATTTCCCCAAGACACATAGTCATCAACCTGGGCAAAGTCATGAAGGCAAAAATTCTACAAGCTGCAAGGTGAAAGCAACAACTAACCTACGAAGGAAATCCATCAGGCTAATAGCAGAGTTTTCAGCAAAGACACGACAAACCAGAAGGGATTGAGGCTCCATTTTTAGTCTTAAACAGAACAAGTACCAGGCAAGAATTTGTATTCTGCAAGAGTAAGTTTCAGAAATGATGGAGAAATAAAGACTTTTTTGGACAAGCAAACACTAAGGGAATTTGTCACAACTAGGCCTGCCCTACAGGAAATGCTCAAAAGTGCATTACACATGGAAAAGCACAACAGATTTTTACACACCAGTGTAAAAACAGGGGAAAGTTAAAGCTCACAGCTCTTAAGAAACAACAGCACAAGAAAGAAAACAATAAGTTGTCATCCAGCATGACGAACAGAATAGCTTCGCACATAGAAATACCAACACTCAATGCGAACGGTCTGAATGCCCCACTTAAAAGACACAGACTAGCTGAATGGATGAAAAAACACAAAGCAAATATGTTCTATCTCCAAGAAACACACCTAAACCACAAGGACTCACCCAGACTCAAGGTAAAGGGATGGAAAAAATATTTTGTGCAAATGGAAACCAAAAGCTAACAGACGTATCAGATAAAATAGACTTTAAATAAACAGTGATAAAAAGAAGATTAAACTGGTCATTATGTACTGGTAAAGGGAGCAATCCAAGAAAAAAATCATAATAATGCTAAATATATACGCACCTAATACAGGAGCTCCCAGATTCATATAGCTATTAATAATTCTACTAGATATAAGAAAAGAAATAAACAGTAGCATCTTAATTCAACACCCCACTCACAGAACTGGATAGATCATTAAACCAGGAAATGAGTAAAGAAACACTGGACTTAAACAGGACTCTATAACAAATGGACCTAACATATAATACATTTACAGAACTTTCTACTCCACACCTATGGAATATATATTCTTCTTATCAGCACATGGGACATTTTTCAAGATTGATCATACCTTCAGCCACAAAAGAAATCTCAGCAAATTCAAAAAAGTGTAAATCATACCATGTATCTTCTCAGACCCCAATGGAATAAAACTAAAAATCAATTCCAAGAGAAATACTCAAATCTACCCAAAGTCATGGAAATTACCATCTGATGAATGATCCTCGAGTCAGTGAGGAAATTTAGATGGAAATCACATGATTCCTTGAACTGAATGACAAAGGGGACATAAACTTTCCAAATCTATGGCCTACAGATACAGCAGTTCCAAGGAGGAAGTTTATATCCTTAAATGCCTACATCAAAAAGAGAGAAAGATCACAAATTAACAACTTAAGGTCACAACTCAAGGACTAGAAAAAAAGAGTAAAACAAACCCAAAGCCAGCAGAGGAAAAGAAAATAACAAAGATAACCTAAAACAACAGAGGAGTTAGGGGCAATGCCCCCATGTGGTTGAAAATCCACATGTACATTTTGATACCCCAAAAACTGAACTTCTAATAGCCTACTTTTAACCCCCAAATTTTCCTATAGCACAAACAGTTCATTAACATGTATTTTGTATGATACATGTACTGTATTGCATGCCATATTCCTACAATAAATTAAGCTAAAGGAAAGAAAACATTATTAGAAAATCATAAGGAAGAGAAGGATATTTACTATTCATGAAGTGGAAGTAGATCTTCATAAACATCTTTTTCCTGGTCACCCTCACATTGAGTGGGCTGAGGTGAAGGAGAAGAGGAGGGCTTGGTCTTGGTGCCTCAGGGGTAGCAGACGTGGAAGAGGTGGAGAGGTTGGAAAGAGAAGCAGGCACACTTGGTGTAATTTTATTTTAAAGAATTCACACATAAGGGAGCCTACACATTTAAAATCTGTATTAGCCAGGCACAGTGGCTCACGCCTGTAATCCTAGCACTCTGAGAGGCCGAGGCGGGAGGACTGCTTGAACTCAGGAGTTCGAGACTAGCCTGAGCAAGAGCGAGACCCCGTCTGTACTAAAAAAATAGAAAGAAATTAGCCAAACAACTAAAAATAGAAAAAATTAGCCAGGCACGGCGGCGCATGCCTGTAGTCCCAGTTACTCGGGAGGCTGAGGTAGGAGGATCGCTTGAGCCCAGGAGTTTGAGGTTGCTGTGAGCTAGGCTGATGTCACGGCACTCTAGCCCGGGCAACAGAGTGAGACTCTGTCTCAATAAATAAATAAATAAATAAATAATAAATAAAACCTGTATTGTTCAAGGGTCAACTGTATCTGCAGTGGTTTTGAAAAACTTCAACATATTCCCGGTTGTCGAGAAGGTCATGTGCATGTCCATGGCTGTATGCATGCTCATGAAATTCCTGAGAAGGCCCTGAGCCCTCACCTCTGGGTGATCTTGAGGCTCTGCATATGCAGTGAGAGGAGGCTAAGGCAGAATTGTAAACTACATGGCTGAACACTGAAGGCATGTCCCAAGACACACTCACAGCTTCTCAATAGAGACTGGGAAATTTATTGGTTGAAGACAATTAATTCATTGGCTGACCACTAAGCTATCCAAGTGGAGACTTCAGAGGCCACCCATGAAAAATACAGATTTCACAAAAAGCCACTGACCAAATAAATAACCACTACAACAAGCAGCGGCAACAACAACAAACACTCTGAAAGAGGGACGAATCTCATTTCCAGGGTTGCTATATTTTATTGTTTAAAGGTGAAGTTTTCAACAAAGTTATGAGCCACGGAAGGAAATAAGAAAGTATGACTCCTACACAGGAAGAAAAGTTCATCAGTACAAACTATACCTGAGGAAAGGCAGATGGTGCCTTATTATAGGAGGACTGTAAATCTGTTTTTAAAATATGTTCAAGAGTTAAAAAAAAAATGTGTACAGAACTAATGGAAAACATAAAAAAAGATGTTCCCAAATAGAGAATATGGGTGAAGATAGAAATATTTAAAAGGAGTCAAATTGAGACTATGGAGCTGAAATGTAAGAAGTGAAAAATTCACTGGATGGTCTAAACAGCAGATTTGAGCAGGCAGAAAATAAGCAGTGAATATGAGGTTAGATTATTGAGTTTATCCAGTTTAATGAAGTTCTATCTGTTTTGTCTCCTTTGATTTCTTTTAGTAGTGTTTTGTATCGTTAATTATACAAGTCTATAAACACCTTGGTTAAGTTAATTTATAACTTTTATTTTTGTTCATGCTATAATAGATGAAATTGTTTTTGCAATTTGCTTTTCACTCTGTTCATTGTTACGATATAGAAATGCAACTGATTTTTACACATTGACTACATATTCTGCTACTTTGCCCAATTCATTTGTTAGTGGTAACAGTTTTTTTGTGTGTATGTGGAATCTTTAGAATTCTCTACATATGACTTCATATTATCTGCAAATAGAGATAATTTTTCTTCTTTATTTTCAACATAGATGCCTTTTATTTCCTTGACTAATGACTCTAGTTAGAACTTTCAGTGCAATATTGAATAGAAATAATACAAGTGGGTATCCTTGACTTGTTCCTGATCTTGGAGTAAAACCTATTATTCTTTGATCATCGAGTATGGTGTTCACTGTGGATTTTTCAAACATAGCACTTATTATTTTGAGGTGGGGTCCTTCTATTCCTAGTTTTTTTAAGTGTTTTTATCATAAAAAGGTATTATATTTGCTTTTTCTGTATGAATTAGATGACCGTGTGGGGTTCTCATTTATTATATTAATAGCAATATCATATATTATAGTGATGGATTTTTGTGTGTTGAAACATTATTGCAATCCAGGATGAATGCTACTTGAGCACGGTGTATAATCCCCTCAATATGCTGCTGAATTGGTTTGTTAGTCTTATTTTGTGGATTTTTCCATCAAAGTTTGTTAAGGATATGGTTCTATAATTTTCTTATTGTGCTTTTGTCTGGCTTTTAAATCAGGGTGATATTTGGCTCATAGAATGACCCAAAATATCACATTTTGAATGATTTCATGCAGGAGAAGGATTTAAAATTTGATTTTAGAAAGTAGTCAGTAGGGAAAAGTCCATACAGAGAGAAAGTAGATAAATGATTGCCATGGGCTGCAGGGAAGAAGTAATGGGGAGTGAATGTGATGGGAATTTCTTCGGGATGATGAAAATGTTCTGGAATTACGTTGTGGTGATGTCTGAAGAACCTTGTGATTATGTTTAAAACCCCCAAATTGTGCCCTTTAAGAAAGGTTAATTTCGCTGATAACTAGAATCTATATACAACTCAGGAAAATCACCAAGAAAAAATCAAACGACCCTATCAAAAAGTGGGCAAAGGACATGAACAGAAACTTTTCAAAAGAAGACAGAATAATGGCCAACAAACATGAAAAAATGTTCAACATCTCTAATCAGCAGTGAAATGCAAATCAAAACCACAATGAGATGTCACTTAACTCCAGTGAGAATGGCTTTTATCAAGAAGTCCCAAAACAATAGATGTTGGTGTGGATGCAGAGAGATAGGAACACTCATACACTGCTGGTGGGACTGCAAACTAGTACAACCTCTGTGGAAAGTAATATGGAGATACCCCAAAGAGATACAAGAGTAAAACTACCATTTGATCCAGCAATTCCACTGCTGGATATCTACCCAAAGGAAAAAAAAGACATTCTATAAAAAAGACATCTGCACTAAAATGTTTATAGCAGCACAATTCACAATTGCAAAGATGCGGAAACAACCCAAGTGCCCATCAATACGTGAGTGGATTAATAAAATGTGGTATATATATACCATGGAGTTCTACCCAGCCACAAAAAACAGTGGGGATCTAGCACTTCTTGTGTTATCCTGGATAGAGCTGGAGCCCATTCTACTAAGTGAAGTATCACACAAATTGAAAAACAAGCACCACCTGCACTCACCATCTAATTGGTATTAATTGATCAACATTTACGTGCACATATGGTAGTAACATTCACTGGGTGTCGGGCAGGTGGGAGGGGGGAGGAGAGGATGGGTCTATACACACCTAATGGGTGTGGTG